GTATGTTTACGTATAACTGCATCACTTTGCTGTATAACTGAAACTAACACTGTAAATCAACTACACTCGAATAAAAAATTTTTTTAAAATCTATACTGACCTCATTCATGGTGTAATTTTTCTGGGATGTGGCTGTTATCAACTTTTCTCACGCCATCTTCTTTTTCCTCCTGTGTTTCTTGTGTTTCATGCTGGCCCCTTCCTGATTTTTCCTCCTTGGAATGGAGTTACTTCCAGTCTAGTGGGGTTCAGGTGGAGGGGGGGTGTTCCCTGAGGAGGAACAGCACAGGGACGTCCCCTAGGAAAGCTTACGGGCACTTTGCCCCGTGTCATGCGCTAATCCAGGCTGGGAGACACTGCACTACTTCTTCATGAATCTCCAAATAATCTAAGTTCCCAGTACGCTTACTTTTGACTTAGCCTTCACCACTCTTCAGCTTATAAAAATGGGCAGCTCAGGGCTGTTAAGTCATCCAGGGTTTTATCTCCACAGGCCACATGGATACCCTGCTCCTTGGAGAAGCGGTGTGTCTGTGCCTGGCTGCTTGAATGTGTCCCCTGCCACGCTGTGACAAGGGGCCGGACAGGCTCTCTAGGCAGCGTGGATGCGGTCTGTCCTTCCCTCCCCCGGGCTCCCCCGTCCCAGAGAACGCGGCGCTCTGACACCCCTGTCCCAGGCGTGCTGAGCACGGACCTCTTGTCGGGACTGCCTGACCCGAAGGCTGTCTTCCGAGGCTTTCTTCATGCGGGCTTGTTCAGAGTTTGAGGTGTTTCCCAGCGTCACTGAAGACTTTTCTTGTTCTCCTTGTTATTTTTGGTTGATTCCAGGCAGGAGAGGTGGCAGAGTGTTTTCGTTTTATTGGTTTACACTGGAAACGACTTTCTGCCAGCCTGGCCTTTAATAACAAGTTTTCTTCCTGCTCCATGTACAATACTTTTGTTGTTTCAGCCCCTTTTCTCTGTGGCAGTGGAGAAGGTTTTACCAGATGTATTTTTCTTAAAGAAAGGAAAAAAAAAGTCACCCCCACCTCATTTTAATGAGACTTAAATTTCATAGTATCAATTTTCCCTCTCCACTGCATAGCATGGTTCTTAAGAATTGCCACATGTGATAAAGCCTCCCAGGAGATTTTACTGTTATTTTTACAAACAGCGGTCAGGAATTCAATCAAGAAGGTTTAACATTAAATGGCTATTTATTAATTGCTATGTCACTCATATTGGTAAAATAATTCTACCATTAACAATTTAAAGATATACAGGGTCTGGGGATGACGGACTGGTATGTAAGATGCGGAGGGGTCCAATTTATCTTGGTTGTTCCATACTATCAGTTTCAGAGTTTTGCATGTTATTTTGGTAATGTGAGATTTGGAGTTAAGCAAATATATGGAGATTTTTTTCATTGAAATAACTTATTCTGAGAAAACTTGTATCAGGATCGGAAACTAAATCAGCTATAACTCAGTAATAATGCCAGCTGTTGTGACCAAAAACCCTACAGATGCTTCTCACTTAACTAGAGAAGATCTTACAGCAAAGGATTCTAACTGGAGTCACCTCAGGTCCTCTTCTTGGTACCTTGGCTCCGTCAACCCATTGGAGAGTGTGGGGACACTGGTCATTCTCTGTCTAGTATTCTATCACCCTGAAGAGGCTGGTGTGTTTACAGATGTCCGGTCTTGCTGGGGACATACCTGTCTCCTGGGCAAGCAAACGGGTGTTACGTTCAGTGCAAGGAATAAATCTTCCTAACACCTAGGATGGCAACGGCTTGCTTACAAGCGCTGACCTGCTCCATCCGAGATGCGTTAGCAGACTAGTCGGGAAATGCTTCCTGTTTCCTGAAGGAAAGACTTCATTTCCTTAATTAATCGTCTTTCTCACCCTGACAATAACCATTATTTTCCATGCCTTGTCAGATGAAGAATACTAGAAACATAAATGGTAGTGATTACAAACGGCGTTACAGCCAGGGAGCTGTCTCTTGCCTTGGAAGCATGCTTACTCCCAGGTGTCCTGTCTTATTCTTGGATAACTGTCACTCTTTAGCTTGCTCATTCTTTAACATTCAAGGCATCACATCCAGGGAAAAAGCCACCTCTTTATAATATTGGATTTTCCATCCTTTCCTTGTTCAGGCCTTCTTTTTGATCTCCATTTTTGGGGAAGCAAATTTAGTTGAATAAAATATCTGATTCTCAACATGAGTTAAACTTATTTTTAAATTGGCCCTTATTTCAAAAGCTTTGCTTTCTTAAAATTGTTTTCTAAGAGCAGTTTCAAGTTCGCGGACAAATTGAGAAGAAGGTACAGAGATTTCCCCATGTACTCCCAGTCCCCACACATTCACAGCCTCCCCATCATCAACATCCCCCACCAGAGAGGTACACTTGTCACCACTTGATGAACCCACATTGACACGTCATTATCACCCAAAGCCCATAGTGTATATTAGGGTTCACTCTTGGTGTGGTATATAGTCTGTCGGTATGGATGAATGTATAATGACATGTGTCCAACACTACAGTATCTTGGTTATTTTCACTGCCCTAAAAATCCTCTGTGCTCTGCGTATTCATTCCTTTGCCCCGCCCTACCCCTGGCGACCACTGGTCCTTTTACTGTCTTCAGTTTTGGAGACATATGGTGTGCAGCCTTTTCAGATTGACTTTTTTTCACTTAGTGATACGCATCTAAGGTTCCTCCATGTCTTTTCATGGTTTGGTAGCTCGTTTCTTTTTAGCCTGGAATAATATTCCACTGCCTGGATGTACCACAGTTTACTTATCCATTCACCTACTGAGGACACCTTGGTTGCTTCCAAGTTTTGGCAACTGTAAATAAAGCTGCTGTAAACAGCCGTGTGCTGGGTTTTGTGTTGACATAAGCTTTCAGCTTCTTTGGGTAAATATCAAGGGTGATTGCTGTATCATATGGTGAGTGTGTTTAGTTTTGTAAGAAACTGCCTGACTGTTTTTAAACTCCCTGTCTGGGAATTTAAATTCCAGCATCCCTGCCATGTCTGGTTCTGATGCTTGCTCTGTCTCTTCATATTGTGTTTTCTTGTCTTTTAATATACCTTGTAATTTCTTCTTGCTGGACATGCGGCCATGATGTACTGCGTAAAAGAAACTGCTGCAGATAGGTCTGCAGTAATGTGGTGGTAAGGTGCTGGGGGAGGGGAAGTGTTCCTATGATCAGGTCTCAGTCATTTAGTGAGTCTGTGCCTCTGGACTGTGAACATCACGAGTGTTTCTCAGCATTCTTCCTCCTCCTTCGGTGGGACCAGATGACGAGAGCCTCGCTTCCCCAGGTCAGTTAGGCTCTGATACTGCCCCAACAGGCTACGCTCTGGTTCACTAGTCTCTTCTGAGGGCAGGGCTTGTTAAGGAGGACGGAGTGCTCTCCTAGAATAATAATAAGGAGATTTTTCTTTGATATTTATTATGAGAACATGGTTGAACTCCTGGAGATAAAATTCACAAAAGTGTGGGGTCCTCCGTGACTGCATCCCCTGAAGTTTCCAACTCTCAGACTTGTTCATACTGAGCCTCCAGCGATTTGTGGGTTAGGGTTCAGGTCTTCCTGCTCCAGCACTGATTCCCTTGGTGGTTTCTGCTCATCAGTGTCTGCTCTGGTAAGCCATGACTCCCGGTGTTTGCCTGTCTGTTTCTCTAAACTCGGGGACAGCAGCTTGTCTGTGTCCTGACCTCTCTTAAGGATCCAGGAAGAGTTGTTGATTTTCTTCAGTCTGTTCAGCACTTTACTTGCCGTTAGGACAGAGTGGTGACTTCTAAGCCCCTTACGTGCAGAACTGGAAACCAGACGTCCTGTCTCCAGTTTTTTAAATTGTTGTCTTTCTTTCATATTGGTTTTGTGCATTTCCTTTTCAGTTTATCCATAGGTATTATTTACATATATTTGCTGCTATACTTGAGATCTTTTTGTTGTTGTTATTATGTAATCTCACAGTTTAATGTTAGTGTGGCATAACTTGATCAGATTTTATCAATTTTGTAATATAATCAGGTACATTATATCTCCGTTTACTACTTGTCTTTATGATATCTTAAAAGGTAGTGCAGGCTACATGTGTAACAATGAATTTATACATTACATAGTAGATGGTATTACCCTGTTAACAGGGTCTCTCTCTATGCTCTGAGCGCCATCACAAGTCTGACCCATGAGGTACTAGTGGACCACACGGCCACCAAACATAATCAGTGGGCCATGTCCCAGCCATCCTGAGATGAGCCATTCTAGAATGTGTGCTGTTTTCTCTGCTCTAGCTTCTCCTGGGATTTATTTTGAGTTCCGGTAAATAATTCTGACACGAATTGACTTTGAAAAGTTACGGGACCACAGCACTCCACCTACCACAAAGGGAAAGGCTAAAGGACCAGGCACTAGGTTAGAATACACATTTTCTGGCAATTGGTGATGTTTTCAGGGAAATGCTTGAGGAAGCTGAGGATAAAGAAAACAAGGAGATTGGCAGAGGTCTTTTGACATTGTGAAGGGCATCCTAAACATTGTTAAAAGCTGAGAGAATAGGGCAATTGCTCAAGTACAATCTTAAAATACTTCTCCACAGGAAGGAACTATAGGACCCCATATAATTCAGTCCAGTTAGAGCTCTGGTTTCTAGGACTGTACCCCAATGTTGAACTGAGTAAGTGTGCCTATATATTTCTGTGTGGTTCTTTATTAATCTCTCCTATTAGATCTAATGTGCATTCCAATTAATGCTCTTTATATAAATAAAAATAACTTTTTATCACTTTCTTTCCACTACTTTTACCTCTTAATTGTATTATCCAAGTGCATTGGCTAAGTTTTGCCAGTCCGTATCTTTTTCATGATTTGAATGACGGTGCTTCTACACTAATCATGCTGAAGCAATTTGCCTGAGATAGCTCTTTACAAAATAAGAACATATCCTCTTAGCCCTATTTTATGAAGAGTTTTAACATCATAAATTGTTTAATTGTATCGAATGCTTTTGCAGCTTCTACAGAAGATACTGTATGCCGATAAATTTATGAAAAATTACTCAGTCCCACTAACCCTCAGGGAAGTGCAAATTAAAACCAAAATGAGACACCATTATATTCTACCTGAAATGTTAATGTTAATAGGGTTGACTATACTAAGTGTTGGTGGAACTATAAGGAACCTGAACTCTCAGATGCTGCTGATGACAGTGTCATTTTGGTATGATCATTTTGGGAAATTGTCTGTCATTATCTCTGAAATCTGAGCATGTGCAGATCATCAAATCTAGCATTTTGACTATGAGGTATAGAACCAACAGAAATACGTACATGTCGTGCAAATGTTTATACTAGTTTTATTTGTGATTAAGTCAAATTGAAAAGCAATGCCCATTGAGAAACAATAGGATAAGTAAATAAACTGTGCTGTATTTATATATTTTCCTACTTAAAAAGAAGATACTGCATCTTTGTCATTGACCTAATACGTTGGGTTATGTTAATAATTTGCCTAATGTTTCCAGTCCTTGCATGTCTGAGGCATTCCTTATTGGTAGCGGTCAACTGGTATTATCCATACTTCTCAGGGTAAAATGATTTTAGTTTCTTTCATTCTTTTGGTTATCTGATGTATCTAAAGTTCTGG